ATATATATATATATATATATATATAACTACATTAAGTCATCTTGAATTATTGGTTGACGCTATGTGATTATATATGTTCTTATCCGTTTTTAACGTATTTTAACTAATACTGTACTTTTTCTGCTGATCATTAAGTTATGGTAGTTATCGGTTATTGTAGTTTTCTTTCATTTTAGTATTCGAGGTGCACTTCTATTTATCACTATATTACTGATTGGTGCTGGTTGGGCCTTTATCAAACATATGTTAACACCGCGTGAACGTAATGTGTTCCTGATTGTAGTACCTCTTCAAGTGAGTTCGTTGTTACGAAATTGTTTTCAAGAGGGATAATTTTTTTACATATGTATGTTGCATAAAATTTATCTCCACATTTCCATTATTAACAAATTACACTTAGTTCTCTTATGTGAACGTAATAGTGCATCGATTCGCGTTTCTACATCCTGAGGTAATAATATCATCATGAGAAGGTGCAACACAAAGTTTATCAAGTATCTGTTATATTGCGCTAATTAAGACACCTGCCTCACTGTTTCGAACACAAACCTTCAAACATCCTTTTAAATGTGAGAGCCTCCTTTCATCTCTCAAGACTAACATTCCATTGACAGCACCAGTTCCCATAATGAGTGTGACCTATAGCTTTCAAACACTTATAATTAATGTCAAAGAAAATTTGTTGTTGTCACTGAAAGGTTTTGCTTATACAAATGTGTTTGTTATTGTGTAGAATATTTAGGTACCTATGTAAGTTTTATTTCAGTGTTTTTACTAATAATGAAAAAAATAATTGCATAGATCAATTTAAGTTTATTGAAAATTAACTCAACTACTGGAAATCAGAGATGTTGCACGACTATTTTTTAATGCAGTTAGTGTGTAGTTGGATCATATACAACATAATTGAACATTGCCAATCACGATTTCGTATTAGAACTCCAAATTAGTTACTAATGAGTACATGATTATTATTATTAGTGCGAGGAGCCCGTAGAGATTGCTGAATTTTGTAGTTTATATCACGAATTGACCTTACTTCAATAACCATTGAAAAATAGAAAATACCGAACAGTCCTTTCGTCCTAGTTCGAGGCTCATCAACAGTGTTCATTTTTAACCTCACCAAAGACGGTCGCAAAGTGATTCAAGTTTGAAATTCAAACTGTAATGTCGGTTACTATGTTAAGCCCATTTAACTTATTCTAGCTTCTGGACAGGCCAATTTATCCATTATTCTTGAGTCACGTTTTGACCTTGTTAATTAATCACTTATCAACCCTGACTTTTTATATGCGCGTACATGTTCTCCTACTCATCACATATCTGTAACTTATTTTTATGTGACTACAAGTGTTGATTAACTCTTGGTAGAAAGGAGTTAGCTCACACGCTTTCTCCAGTGCGCGTTCTTTTGTTTCACTTCCCTTCATTCGCTGTGATTCTCTGATTGTCTGTTCCGACCAACGAGTATACAAAAGATATTTATTCGAAAATCCATTCTCGTATTTGACTTCAGTCAGTCAGCTGCAACGTAGGACCAGGCACATATATGCATCCGTCCAAGTTGCCATACCGCATTAGCACAACAAGATGAACACCGGATTCATAGAAGTAGTTAATTCAGTGGTGGTAATATATAAAAGAAAGATTGCATATTAAGAGATAGTACAGGAAGATTGAATTAGTTCATAGAAAGAAAGACATGAAGCGATTTTAATCACTTAGTTTAAGGGAAGACAGAGTGTATACACCGACGCCATAGTGATCGATTCTGAGCCGTGTCACTCAGGGTGTCCAACCATTGGTTACGATAGTCACGCGGACCCCAACCAAGTAGTCTGCATCTACCAACATGGCTCAAACCGGAAGTTAGTGACTTCAAACACTGATGCCACGTTTTGGTTTGGCCGCCTCTAACTTTCTTCCAATTATCCCTAACACTAGTCAGCATTGCGCGTCGTGGTAATCGGTGTTCAGGCATATGTAACACGTGGCCCAACTATCTCAGTCGATGAAGATTCATAACCTCATCAACTGATTTACCATCATTCCCTAATACCCTGCGTCTAACCTCACTATTACTTACCCGGTGATCCCAGCAGATACCAGCACTATTTCTAAGGCATCTGTGGTCAAATACTAGTAACTTACGAGTATCTTCAACTCTTAATGGCCATGTTTCGCAGCCGTATAGTAGAACGGAACGAACTGCCGCGCAGTATACTCGTCCCTTAATTGATAGACGGATATCTCGCCATTGCCATATGTGACGTAAGTTGGCGAAAGCCAAACGAGCTTTTCGAATCCGTGCTGAGATTTTGTCAGACACCAACCCATTAGGGCTGATCAGACTTCCAAGATAAGTGAAGTTGTCTACACGTTCGACTACCTCACTCCCTATCCTTAACTCAGGTGTTGACGCAGACCAGTCCTGAAGCAACAACTTGCATTTAGAGGGAGAGAAGCGCATCCCAAACATTGTGGCATTGTTGCTCAGTGCTACCAAAAGACTCTGTATTTTATCAGCGTCTTCACCAAACAGGACTATGTCATCTGCGTATTCTAAGTCGATAAGTGGACCTCCTGGTAGGAGATCAATACCTGAGAATTCAGTCGATGAGAGCGTTATTTCCATCAGTAGATCTTTGATGAAGTTGAACAAAAACGGAGAAAGTGGACAGCCTTGACGGACCCCACTTGAGGTTGGGAAAGCAGATGACAGTTCGCCATAAGCTCTCACTCGACTAGTAGTGTTCGAGTAAAGAGCCTTCATAAGGTTTATGTACTTCTGAGGTACGCCTTCCAATGACAGACACTGCCACAAAACCTCTCATCTACAGAGTCAAATGCTGCTTCTAAGTCGAGGAAGACCACCATTGTCGGACGCCGATAAGTATGCCTGTGTTCTAGAACCTGACAAATGGTGAATATGTGGTCGATGCAGCCACGACCAGGTCTGAAGCTAGCCTGATTTTCACGTGTTTGCAGTTCACGAGTCTTAGTTAGGCGTCCGAAAATTATCGAAGCTAGTATTTTAGATACTATATTAGTCAAACTAATCCCTCTGTGGTTGTCACAGGATGATTTTGATCCTTTCTTAAATATTGGGACGATAAGTGATTGTGACCAGTTAGATGGGATGACGTCTAACTCCCAGATTTTAGCTAAAATATTAGTCAACCTAATCGCCAAGACTAGACCACCATCCTTAAAGACCTCTGGGGCCAATCCATCTGGACCAGCTGCCCTTCCTCGTTTTAGATTAACTATAGCCTTCTGAACTTCAGCTAGAGTTGGGGGACCTACTTCAATGTTCCATTCACACTGTCTGGGAATAGAGGGTAGTTGTAGAGTAGCTGAAGGCCAGCTAAACTGCTCATTAAAGTGTTCCGCCCATCGTTCTAAGCGTCTGGACTGGGAGCAGATGAGAGTGTCGTCTTTTTCCGAAATGGTCTGACTTACACTTGATTTATTAATTCCAGTTTGTTTTATTAGTCTGTAGAGTTGTCTTGTGTTCCCTATAGCCGCCGCCTTTTCCATCTCTTTTGCTTTCGTTGCCCACCACTGCTCACGATCATTCCTTAGACTTTTGCTTAATCTAGATTTGATTTCTTTACGCTCTTCATCGTATTCAAAACCTGATGGGATGAGTTTGCGAGAATCTATCAGTGCAATAGACCTTGACGAAATCCATTGGTTCTTTGTAACCATTTGGTTTAAATCACTAGTAGATGTCACTGCTGTTTCCACAGCTGCTTGTATAACTTTCCAAGCAACATCTGGGTCAGTCTTGTTTTCAGAACTACCTAAGTGTGACCTCAGTTGTTCTTGGAACCTACTTTTGGTTTTCTCGTTACTCAATTCGGTTCTAATGAGTCTTTTTTGTGTGGCTCTTTTGCGTCCAGTGAGGCGTAAACAGATGCGTGCTCGTACTAGGGCATGGTCGGAGTCCAAGCAGGTACTCCAGAATGAGCGACAATCTTCTATTGACCCTCTCCAACGATGACTGATGGCAATATGGTCTATTTGAGTCCATCGTTGGTTTGGTGCAGGGGGTCGCCATGTTAGACGATGTCTCTCCTTATGCTTAAAATTTGTGTTTGCTAAAAATAAACGATTGTCTGAGCATAGTTGCAGCAGACGATCACCATTATTTGTTCTCTGTGCCGGGATGCTAAAATACCCACCTAAATGTCTTTCTGTTTCGTTTAAGCTGCCTACCTGGGCATTAAAGTCACCTGCTACGAGTACTATGTCTGAACGTTTAGCTTTCTGAAGAAGTTCAGAGAGTTTTCTGTAAAATTCATCTTTATCTTCATCCGAGCTGCAGTCAGTGGGAGTGTAGGCAGAAACGACGAAAAGGCAACGACGTGTGTCCCTATCCTTCCGAGTTCTTACGGAGCCGTTTAGCCGGACAGCACATAGACGACTGTTAACGGGGATCCACTCTAATAGCGCTTGTTCCGCCCTCATGCTTAGTGCTATGCCTACACCTGCCAGTCCACGAGAACTAGCTATTGGGTCGCCAGATACACGGAGGGTGTATCTCGTCGGCTCTCCGTTTTGCCGAGGTGAGGTCAAGTGAATGACCACACTAGGATCCTGTATGCGTATTTCGGAGACACGGCATACATCAATTGTACGAGATTCTAGGGTTTTAGCCAAGCATCGTATTTGACTTATTTAATTCCGTTATTTACTAACGCGGATTAAGTTGATAATCATATACGAAGATTGAAGATAGGTATATTATCATTAACAATCATTCATACGGTATTACTGAAGTCAGAACCCAGGCCATTAAAAACCATTGAACCCACTAATCTAAAGGTTAAGTGCTCATCACAGGAGCTAAAGGTCCTGAGTTTGATCCCTTGCTTAGTCTCGTACTTGTATGGAATAGCTGCCTAGTGCTTTCTGGTTTTCAATTGTTGTCTAGCTGAAATCAGTGGATGATGTAAACAATGAAATTCAACAATCACGACAAACTCCTTATACTTACATAGAGAATTGGTTTTCTTGTTGTTGAATTAATAATTATTGCCTGTAGCTCTTCCAGAGTTACTGCCGGTCCCAAGCCCGGGTAGAGGAGGAGGGTTGGGCATGGGGTTAGCGTCCCCATCCCGTAGAAACCTAACTCGCTAAAAAAACGCTAACCAGAAAAAATAACTCAAACCATTTAAACTCTGCCCTGGGAGTTAGAGGTAATATGACGCTTCATGGTGAAAGCCGAGTTCCTTCGGAAGCCACGAGGCCGATGCCCCTTCTAACAACCAGAGCAACAATTTTTATAGGTACATGGAACGTCCGGACAATGTGGGAGACCGGGAAGACCAGTCAAATAGCAACGGAAATGAGGAGATACAACTTGGCAGTGCTGGGAATCAGTGAAACCCATTGGACCCAAGCTGGACAACAAAGGCTAAATACTAGAGTGATGATGCTATACTCCGGTCACGAAGGGGAAAATGCTCCACACACTCAGGGAGTTGCTCTAATGCTATCCAAAGTAGCACGAAATGCACTTGTAGGATGGGAATCTCACGGATCCAGAATCATCAAAGCATCATTCAAAACAAAGAAGGAGGGGATCACAATGAACATTATCCAATGTTATGCACCCACCAATGATAGCAACGACGACGTTAAAGATCAATTCTATGAGAGGCTGCAATCAATCAGAGAAGTGCCCAAGAAAGGACCTCACCATTCTGATGGGAGATCTAAACGCCAAAGTCGGAATGGACAACACCGGATATGAAGACATCATGGGACTACATGGACTGGGAGAGAGAAACGAAAACGGGGAAAGATTTGCAAATCTGTGTGCATTCAATAAATTGGTTATAGGCGGTACAATATTTCCACACAAACGTATACACAAAGCTACATGGATCTCACCGGACCACACCACAGAGAACCAGATAGATCATATTTGCATCAATAAAAAGTTCCGAAGGACAATGGAAGATGTGAAAACCAGGAGAGGAGCGGACATAGCTTCAGATCACCACCTGGTTGTGGCCAAATTGAAACTGAAGCTAAAGAAGAACTGGACAACTGGACAAACAGCACCACAAAGGTTCAATACAGCCTTCCTTCGAGATACTGACAAACTCAATGAATTCAAGGTAGCTCTCAACAACAGGTTCCAAGCCTTACAGGACCTACTGAAGGAAGAAGAAACTACTATGGAGGATAGCTGGAAAGGCATCAAAGAAACATTAACTTCAACGTGTGATGAGGTTCTGGGCCCCAAGAAGCATCATCACAAGGAATGGATCTCTACAGAAACCCTGGACAGGATCAAAGAAAGAAAGAACAAGAAGACAGCAATTAACAACAGTCGAACAAGAGCAGAGAAAGTCCAAGCACAAGCAGAGTACATAGAAGCAAACAAGAAAGTGAAGAAGAGCATTAGAGCTGACAAGCAAAAATACGTGGAAGAACTAGCAACGACGGCGGAAAAAGCTGCAAGAGAAGGAAATATGAGACAGCTTTACGATACGACGAAGAAGCTTGCAGGGAAATACAGTAAACCAGAGAGACCAGTCAAAGACAAAGAAGGAAGACCGATCACTGAGATTCAACAACAGCGGAACAGATGGGCAGAGTACTTCGAGGAACTCCTGAACAGGCCGGCTCCAATGAATCCACCGGACATCGAAGCAGCACACACAGATCTTCCTATAAATGTCAATCCACCAACGACGGAAGAAATCAGAATGGCCGTCAGACAAATCAAGAGCGGGAAAGCAGCAGGGCCTGACAATATACCAGCTGAAGCGTTGAAGTCAGACATCGAAGTAACTACAAGCATGCTTCATCTTCTATTCAAGAAGATTTGGGAGGAGGAACAAGTGCCGATGGATTGGAAAGAAGGACACCTCATCAAGATTCCAAAGAAAGGAGATCTGAGCAAGTGTGAAAACTACAGAGGCATTACACTACTGTCAATACCAGGTAAAGTCTTCAACAGAGTGTTACTGAACAGGATGAAAGACGCAGTAAACGCTCAACTTCGAGATCAACAAGCTGGATTCCGTAAGGACCGGTCGTGCACAGACCAGATTGCGACACTACGGATCATCGTCGAACAATCAATTGAGTGGAACTCGTCACTCTGCATCAGCTTCATTGATTATGAGAAGGCATTTAACAGTGTAGATAGGAGGACGTTATGGAAACTTCTTCGACACTATGGAGTTCCTGAGAAGATTGTCAACATTATCCAGAACTCATACGATGGACTACAGTGCAAAGTAGTGCATGGAGGACAGCTGACTGACGCATTCCAAGTAAGGACCGGAGTAAGACAAGGCTGTCTACTCTCTCCCTTCCTGTTTTTCCTGGTGGTCGACTGGATTATGAAGACCTCGACATCTGAGGGAAACCACGACATACAATGGACAGCTCAGAACCAATTAGACGACTTGGACTTCGCAGATGACCTAGCCCTCCTATCACATACACACGAACAAATGCAGATAAAGACAGCCAGAGTAGCAGCAGTCTCTGCATCAGTAGGCCTCAACATACATAAAGGGAAAACCAAGGTCCTCAAACACAACACGGAGAACAGCAGTGCAATCACTCTTGATGGCGAAACTCTGGAAGACGTGAAATCCTTCACATACCTGGGAAGCATCGTCGATAAACAAGGAGGTTCAGATGTAGACGTCAAGGCAAGGATCGGCAAAGCTAGAGCGGCATTCCTTCAACTGAAGAACATATGGAACTCAAAACAACTTTTAACCAATATCAAAGTCAGAATCTTCAATACGAACGTCAACGCAGTTCTACTGTACGGAGCTGAAACTTGGAGAACTACAACAACCACCATCAAGAAGGTACAGGTATTTATTAATAGCTGTCTACGCATGATACTCAACATCCATTGGCCGGATACCATCAGCAACAGCCTTTTGTGGGAGAGAACCAACCAGCTTCCAGCGGAAGAGGAAATTAGGAAAAGACGATGGAAATGGATAGGACATACATTGAGGAAATCATCAAACTGCATTACGAGGCAAGCGCTAACTTGGAATCCTGAAGGGAAGTGGAAAAGAGGAAGGCCAAAGAACACATTACGTCGGGAAATAGAAGCAGATATGAAAAAGATGAATAAGAACTGGAAAGAGCTTGAAAGGATTGCCCAGGACAGGGTTGGATGGAGAATGCTGGTGAGCGGCCTATGCTCCTTCACGAGGAGTAACAGGCGTAAGTAAGTAAGTGATTTCATCTGTAAAGTGTTATTAACCTAGATGCTAAACAAAAGGACAAAAGTATGGAGTGTTCGGGAAAGAAATCTATATATGATTAAGTACTTACATTATTTATGCCATTAAAATAATAACTGTCAGTTTAATTTGTTGGTTGATGTTTATAGGAAACTAGCTAATCAAACTCTATGTAATCAACTAATGAAAAACAAACATTTCGATTATTAAAAACATATGAGTCACTCCTTTTGTTTGTCTAATTATAAGAGTAGCGAAATTTTCCAATCATAGCATATAATGCTTACATTCTTACTAGAATCTTTAAACTTTTTCATTATGTCTAATTGAACTGAATTATTTCACACTACGGGACATGTTAATGTTTATGATTTATCCACTAACCTCAGATTTCGGAAAAGTTTTCTATTAAATAACCATTGAATGATAATAGCGATTCTGGGCACACATCCGCATGTATAACTTAAATCTTATCTAGAATACTGTAATATATATTACCTAACAATGAAACTAATGTTTACTCAAAAAGTCATCAGGATGATCACTGTTACTACCTCAGTAAAATAAGTGCGAATGTACACTGTTTCATAACTAGTACGCGATTATCGAGAATCGTTTCACTTATCGTAATACATATATGAATCCACAACTGTTGAATTTTGTACCTAACAACCTGTTAGTGATTGAGAAAGGCAGATATTTGTGGAAAGTTAGAACTCTATCAGTGTGTTAGTTGCACGTGGAGATCAGAATTAGCTGTCTCATTGAAGCGGTTGGAAAATTGTTGTAAGATGCGAACTCTTTGAGATGTTCGAAACATCATGAGAATTTATTTTGGAACATCAAAATCTGTTGACTATATTCCTGATCAGACTATGAAGGGATTGTTTGTGTGTCTAATGTTGGAAGATGAGACTCGTTAGGTTCCTGAAATCACTTAGACAAGAGATATTGATTGGTTTCAAACTACATTTCATGAGATTCTAATACAAAGCGCCATGTTTCTTTTAAGGTATTCTTAATTTACATCACTTTAGTCCCGCTTTAACACATATTTTTAACTGATCTCGTTGGCATGTTTCCAAAATCGTTTGATCCTTGTAGACTATCTCGAAAAACTCAGTTATAATCAACCTGAGTTATCAGTTTCTAACTCTAAATGGTTATTCAAAAATCAGACTTGTATTTTCTATATAACCTGTCAAGCGGAAATTTCATATCTTTTCCAATGTTTTAACCTTTTAAAAGCTTCTCATTTAAATCTACCTATTTCTTCATTATTTTCATTCTTTTGCATAGGTTTTAGCCAATATTGCTACTATAATTATTGAAGAGTCTGAAGCTGGTGCAGCTCGTTATGCTACATGGAAAGAAATTTTCATTTTTGTCGATTTAGCATGTTGTGGAGCAATTTTATTCCCTGTTGTCTGGTCTATTAAACTTTTAAAAGCAGCTTCTCAAACAGATGGTAAAGCAGCTATAAATCTGCGTAATCTACGGTTATTCCGTCATTTCTACATTCTGGTAAATTCGAATGCCTGTTCACTTACTGACAGTCATGAAATGTTTAAGTTACAAATTTCATGTACTTAATAAGATCCTAAATATTATTTTTCTACTATTGTTAAAAGAAACAATGTTTATAAATGTTAGTTTCATTTAAATTATTATGATTGTTAAGAATTCATACTCAACTAATCATCCACTTCTATAACATGGATTTGAATATGCATTCGTCACTTAAAATTCTTATCGTTTCTAAAATTATTAGTTATATTTATATCATATCTTTTATGATAGTGTACAGTAGGATTGTATACTTAAACTCATTATCGTTGAATACTATATGTGCTTGAGCTATAGTGGATACCGACTGGTTGGCTTAATAGTAAAAATACTCGATTCTTAGTCATTAAGTTGGATTCTCGAAGTTCGCCCTATCTACTTGATTTTATGCCATGGTTAATCAATAATTAACTATCACACATAGAAGTTCAAACAAATAAAACTGTATTTGACCATTTAAGCTATGAAATTTACTATGCATTGCGTAATAGCATTGACAGTGTTGGACATTGATCTCATTGTTACACGTGTTAATGTGGTATTGTTCTACATATGGCTCTATGCACACTCGTATGAATTAAGCATTATGGTTTTACAAATTTTCGGAAAGCTTTAGCCTTGTCTACTAACTCCTAGTACATATGTTCTTTATTCTCGGCTTAGAGATTAGCTTCTGTTATAATGATGTAGTAGTGATCACTTACAATTCTACGATCTATGTACCACTGTCTTATATGAATTTTATATTAGTATCTATGTTTATATGATTCGTATGCTTTGTTTTTATTTGCTTACGGTTTGCCCTCAATTACCAATGGTAAGATTCAGTAGCATATATTTCTTTGTCCAGGGATTTTTAGTAGATATTTTTCAAAATTGGTTCATTAAATTTAGTCAGCATCAAGTAGTAGAAACATGGTATTGATTACGATCAGGTGATATATTAGCATAAATAGTCATCTATATTAAACTAGGAGTCTCTATTTGACTAGTCTTCATTTGTCGAAGTACAGCACCTTTTAACATAAAGGAGAGTAGTTTACACTCTATTAACAGTTTATTAACCCATGGATAAGACAATTTATTACCTAGGGAATGAATTCTAAGTAATAAAATTGTGTGGAATTACACTTTACAGCCCTGAAAAGGTTGATAATACAAACACTAGACTTGAGGGATATTGTTTTTTATTCAACTATTATGAATACAATTGAGTAGTATCTTTAATATCCTACTGTTTCTCATTTCACAGGTTATTTGTTACGTGTATTTTACACGTGTCATTGTCTACCTGATGACAATCACTGTAGTCTATTCGTATTCATGGCTTGTGGAATTATTCAAGGAGACGGTGACTTTCATTTTCTTTATTTCAGTTGGTTATGAATTTCGTCCAGTTAATGATAATCCTTATTTGCTCGTTTCTGATGAAGATGACGATGAAGATACTGTTATGGAACGTATGCAAATGGAAGATATGTAAGTAGTATTATTTTGGTTTGTGTATACAATTTTATGACTTAACTTTTTCATCTCTAATTCCATTCTTTCTCCTTCAGAATTACATTTCTCTCGTTTAAAGTTCTATTTTAGTTCAAATCCATTTCTTCTCTTTTGCTTCTTATCTTGTTAATTTCTAATTTCTTTAAGAATGGATATTATTTTTTTTGAATAAGTTATTGGTCATCATCAAGTAATAGCTTGGTATTTAGATCCAAGGATTAATTAAACGGTTCTAAGTGTATCCACTTGACGTGTTCAGAATAAGTATCATAAAAAATGTCCATCCTGATTTTTCACCGCTAGCTACTACTACTCTTAACATTTTGCTTCTTAAATAATAATAATAATAATAATAATAATAATAATAATAATAATAATGAATTTTCCTCCCTTTCACACCATGTGTAAATATAAGGTTGATACTTATTTTGCATACAGAATAAATTCTTATGTCATTTAATTAAATATAATAATTATTGCTTACAGTATTGACCATTTTATAATCACATGTTTTTTTATCCAATAATAATTCATTGAAAATAAAAAATCAAAATATTCTTAATTCATCAACAAGGTTTTTAGCGGTAAAGAAATCCCCAAAATAAATAGTTCCGTAAGCTTTCGACATTTGATTCTGACCTCATTGGTTTTAATTGACACATCAAGCTGAAGGCACTTTGTCACGCATCTTCACCAGATCACGAGCGTGTACGCCGTGCTACGCATCTCCTACAACCGTTAGGCTAGATCAGGCGCTTCTCGAGATATCGATAGCCTTTCAAATATAACTTCGAACATCTTCACTTCTGATTTGACTGGGTTGATATACTTCATTTATAAAGATGTTACTGGCAAAGTCGTTTTCAGACTCCGAATACTTGTAGCATCTTTACTGGTGAACCCGACGTGATCTGGTACACCAATTCGTAAACTGTGAGTCTGCTCCTCTTTGGAACAGACTTTAGTTAAATTATAGAAATGGTTAGAAAGGAAAGACGTAACGTTTAATCTGCTGATGAACACAATAACAAAATGTTAATATTTTTTCTACGCTTTCATAGATGGATGATAGGATTTAGTTACATAAAATGAGGTAGATGTATTCATTGAATGGACTATATTTACAGTGACTTATTTTCTTTTTATTATTCACATGCTGGCTTCAAATATTATCCCTATTCTTACGTAACAATAATTTGAATATGTAAATATGATTAATTTCAAAATGAAACGTTTTATCAATGCTGAACTTTTTTGTCTTTCAAATAATTATTCGATGATAATCATTAAAACTTCAGATTCTTTCTTTAGTATATTTTTGCAAGATCTGATCAGGCATTCTATACGGTCTATACCTTAGTTAACTTACTAAATCATCAACAGAAGTCTTATATGTCCGTAATAAATTTCAAAAAGTCAAACTTATGTGTAAAAAGATGACTTTTCAGTATAGGGTTGTGGAGATTATTAAGTTATTGATCGAGATCTTAGACCGATTGATGTTAGACCACCATTGAAAACCTGCAAGCACTGGATGGCCGTTTCGTCCTATTGCGGGACTCCTTAGCAGTGCGCATCCACGATCCTGCTCGCGGGGTTTGAACCCAGGGCCTCCGGTCTCGGTCTGATATTTCCTAGATCTTCTACGTATTTATTCTTGTTGGCTCTTCTACTCCTTTCCACTTGCTCGTTTGCTGCAGAGTATTCAGCTTGTGCCTTGACTTTCTCAGTTCTTGTTTGGCTGTTGTTAGTTGCTGTCTTCTTGTTCTTCTGTTTTCGAATCTTGTCCAGGGTTTCGATAGGGATGCATTCCTTATGATGATGCTTGTTGCGGCCCAGCACCTCCTGACTCGTTGTAGTTAGTGCTTCTTTGACCCTTTTCCAGTTGTCTTCCGTAGTAGTTTCTTGTTTCAGTAGATCT